GCACAGAATTTCTCTGGAGCTGCTGTGGCCTCAGATAGAGTAGCATGGAGAATGCTGTCTGCTGCAACTTTTCTGCAACTTCCTTGTATTATTTTCGTAGCTGTGTTTCCTCTGTCAAGATGCCCCAGGAAGACAGACTGCAGGAAGCATGTACTCTATCCATTGCAGAGGTGACAGGCAATATTTTAGGTGCGTTTTTCAGTGAAACTGATATACCATACCAGTGACAGTGCTGGATTAGTGTTGGACTCGATGGTCTTTGAGGTCTTTTACAACCGTAATGATTCTATGGTTCTGTGAAGTTCCAGGAAGTAAAATCTGCCTGGGAGGACAGAACTTTTCTGTCAGTTTTCATTTGACCAAGTCCTAAGCCTGTAATTCACAAATCTTTCATGGATATTAGTGGGTCTGTAGATCATGAAGAAGGAAGTATCCTGCTTGATTCAGACAGATCTACCAAGTTTCTTCTTGGTAGAAGATACGTAGCTATGTGGTAGATATGTGGCTCATTCCTATGCCAATATTTTATGTTGAAAATTGTTATTGTTCACTTTCAAAAAGGGTAACAAATGTGGGCATTGCTTCTTCTGACCTAGCATTTGCTCCAGCTTCCGTTGTCTGAGTAGATAATCATTCAGAATAGGAAACCTTGAAGATCAACCTCTCCAAGCAGTGTCTCTACAGCGTGGCCATCAACTAGACCCAGCTAAGCGGTTTTTTACCTTCTGCTTTCACCCTTTTAGATCTAATGAAGATGGTTCCTTCCCTTCCTCAATAAACTGAACACAGAATATGTTCTGATTGCTATGAATCTTTGTTTGTTTAGATGTTCTGCTGTCAGATGAAAGTTCTCTTTCTTTTTCCAAATTAGTCAATGTTTCTAYTCCTGGTATGAATCCTTCATTTACACTATTGCTCTTGCATTCACTGAAATGTTTTTAAGAGCTCTGCTCGCCAAAATACCATAATATCTAACATTCCTATGAATATTAAAAAAATCTAGGTGTATGCTTCAGCAATATTGATTTTAGACCCATCTGTGGGTTGAATATTTATTAAAAATGCTTTATCTCTTTTATCTCTAATCTCAGAAGCATCAACACATTCTCGTTAAAGTAACTTTGTTTGTCATCCAGATAAAATCTACATTTAATAAATGTTTAAATATAATRTTTTCCATTGAAGCACCAGAAGAAATTATACTGAATTTTATTATGTTTCCTATTCACAAGGATCAGTTTGTGGCAACTCCATTTGCATTGTAAACCCTATATTTAATTTAAGTTTGTTGATTTTCTTATCTATTTCTATGTCTGAATTTGTTTTGTGCTGGGTGGACATGGAAATTGATGGAGAAACCAGACACAACTGCTARGGTTTGTAATCCTAACTAAACCTGGCAAGTTCTTGTTAGTATTTATTATCATAACAGATAGTGGTTCTAATTAGCATTTCTGAATAATAAGGAATCACTACAAGTCATAATCTACTTTAAAGAGCAAAATGTTAAAACATGCATTCTTCGTATTGTTAGTATGATRTTACTTAAAAAGTAAGTTAAACTCTTTACAAATGCAAAATAGATACAGTTTCTGTCTTGAAATTTAATCTTTATCACTGTTAATTTGGTTTACAGGACCATAATTTGCTGTATTTTTTTGTGTGCACTGCCCAATATTTTTATTTAATGCATCTTTGCTATAGTTAAAATGGAAATTTTAGGYTTTGTACCATTTTGAAGGTAGCTGGTTTAATAATAGTTTCAATTATGCAACTCCTGTGCAATAAGCATGTTATAATCTGCCATTATATACCATGTATCTATGAACAGGAAACATATATTTTTTGCCTACRTACTTTAAAGGAATTTCACAGAAACATTGTAATTTAATTGGTAATTATACAGTTGAATTTACAAGCAAATGGTTTTCCTGAACACAAGATGAGAAAATCCCTTGAACCTGATTAAAGCATCTCTAGTACGAAGTAGACTAATAGYACAGTAAAAAGTAGCAAAGCTAAAAAACTTTTCTGGTAGCCATGTGTTTGATAGAATTACCTTTCCAAACAGAAGTTAGAAGATATATTTTCTTACATGATTCTCTGAACTGAAGTATGCATTATTCAAGCAGATATGAWTTGCTGAAAATAGTGATTACTCTACAAGTTAGAGATTAGAATTTCAAAGTATTCCCTTTGTTCATACATGATATTGTAAGACTTGATGCGTCATTTTTGTTAGCAGAACTATTAAAGATTTAGCCATTTTATAAGATGTGCATGTTTGTAGAGTGTTTTTARAACACAGCAATTTGCTTTACAGCTAAGAAGATAATACACTAATACATTGCAAATGCAACTGCTTGCTCCTATTTCAACTGGGAAATGAAAATGTAATGAAACAGAATTCCATTTTGATAGCATYGATTACTCTGTAGGCAGTTTAACTTTTCAAAATCAGTTTTAAAATGTTTACACCTGGTTCCATGTCAGAGACAGATTTAACAGGTGTTATGTTTTTTAGTAATCTCTCAAGTGGCTTGAACACACTATTTCACCAATAAGTAAGTAATACCAAGTGATACACTATTAAGTCCTGAATGAAACATGAAGTAAAGCCCATTTATTTTAGCATTAAAATTTATTTGCATCCTGTAATGTTGTTTTGGACTAGCTGAATTCTAGGTGTACTTTTAAGTTGTGATGCTGAAGTAGCACAACTGCTGAATATCTAAAATATATGCATTTTTTAGACTATGTTCCAGATAATTGTTATTTAAGACATTTTTCATGAAATTCATCTTAAATACATCACAAGTTTTAAAAARCAGTTATTGAAACATTGCCTGTCACTTCCAGTGATGTATGATGAATAAGAATGTGGCAGGTCGTTCTTCTTTTGATATCTGACACATTTTCTGTTAATTTCTTTTCCTTAAAGAGCTAACAACTTTGATGGGTGTAAATTAGCAATATCACAGTACTTATAATGCCACTTACTTTTAGGTGGCTAAGCTAGCATAATCTCTTAAGTAAAGATGAAACTATTCAGTATTAAGTTATTTGTGATTATCCTTTGGTTTCCTTAACCATAAGTATGGTTGCAGGACAAGGGTATCCGCAGCCTTCTGTGTCTGGTTTGCATGGGAAGGTTCTGGCAGAGGGGSAGGACATAGTCACAGGGGTGGCTTCCCTGAGAAGCTTCCAGAAGCTTCATCCATGTCTGACAGACTGTGACAACAATGAAAATGAATGGAGTATCTTCCCAAACTCTATTGATAACATGTGTCACTGGGTAACTGATTGTATTTTAAACAAATAATTCAGACGTGTCTGCAGGGCGCTGCTATCAAGGACATCACCACCTTTGGGAAATATTTAGGAGTAATGCATGAATTCTCTAAGACAGAAATTTATGAGTATATATTGTGATTGCAATTACCTGATGGACTGTTAGACTTTGTTATACTTTTTATCAGTGAGCATTCTGGAATGTTTGTGAGATGTAGCATTTAATTATGCCATGGCTAATGCTAGACAATCTGAAATCTGCCTTTGTCTGTTTTTACAATAATTTGGTATTTTTTCAAAACAAAGCCAACAACCTGATTAACACATTAAAAAAAAAAAAAACAAAAACAAAAAAAAAAAACAAAACAAAACAAAAAAAAACCCAAAGCCAAAAAAACAACAACAAAAAACACAAATCAAAAACAAAAAAACTTCAACTGTGGAGAGGAGGGTGTAGAAAACACCATTTTGCACATTTACAGAATAAACATTTCTAAATTCAACACAATGCAGCATCACAAGTATTTTGGTAATTCATTTTCAGTTCCTTTTTTCTTTTGTGAATTAAAAATAACCAGAAATTTTTTAAAGTACAAACATATGTCCATCTGTAAGTAAGAGGAATTGTTTWGATTTCATAGCTGATTCTGTAAATTATGGGCTGGCAAGGCAATTCCTTGACCAAAACTCATTATCACAGCTTTTATATTCCTTATTACATACTTTGACACTAATCATTTGCATATTAAACTAAAAACTTCCATATGATTGAGGCAGGATTTTTTCTACAAATTTATAAACCAGATTGTTAAACTGAACATATATGGATTTCTTTGTCCATAATGATGTCCCCATAATTTTTAGCCATATATTTTTCTTCCAAGTGCGCATTACTAGCCTAACTAGGAATCAAACAGAAAATTTTGGATAATTATTCCCTGAAATCATGTATCTTACCTTATATGTGGTTGTGCTGTATGCATTTCATTGTTTTTCAACACCATTTTCAGAAGTGATGTTTGCTTTAATTTGTTGCTAAAATAAAATTTCAGAAAACATTGAAGAGTAAGGATAAACCTGTCAATTGAAAAGCATAATTAATTTGAAAGTGTTTCAATATCTGCAAACTTTTTTTTATTTCAGTTAGATCAACTCCTATATCTGTCTGGTTTCACAATTATTTTAGTGCTTTTGAGCTTTGAGACATTTGGGAATATTGTTTCATAAAATGTGACATAAATTGTGATATCTTAGTTCATGTTTTTTGGTTGGTTTGTTGTTTTGTTGTGGATGTTTTGTTAATCCACTGTCTAGGTTGCAGTAGAACTGAATGGGAAATACACTTTCATATGTCTTACTGCAATAGGGTCATATGTTATCTTTATTTTTTAATTGGCAAGAAAATGAAATTTAAACTGAACAACCCCCGGAAAGCTCTGTGTGAATCAGCATTTCAAGATCTCAGTGTTTAAGTACATTCTAAATTCTAGTGTTGATTTCCACATAATGCTGAAGTAGATGTTTTTGCAGTTCTGTAAATTATTTTAAGAGTATTTTAGAATGCAAATTATCTATCAGGATAACAGAAAGCCAAATATTTTATTAAAGTGTCATGCATTCGATATGTTTTGGGTATTCCATGTAAGCTGATGATTGCTTTAATTCTTACAAAAGTATCTTAGATGTAACAATCACTTCCTTGATTTCAGGAGCTGATGCTGTGGAAGCTCAGTGTAAGAGATTTGAAGTGAGAGCAAGTGATGGTGGAAAAGTATTGTTTTCTGCAGATGAAGATGAGATTGTCATTGGAGCTGACAGACTGAAAGTAACAGGTATGGTAATAATAAAGTTTCTAAATGGATGCAAACATATTTTTAAATATATTTTGTAATAATTAAGCTATCAGTCTTCTACAAAATTTTAATTCACTGGAGAAGAAAAAGTCTTCTCATTATCAGTGATTCACCAACCAAAAGGTACTGCATAGTTCTATATTCAAATATCAATTTCTCCAAAGGTAGATTTGAATTTAAATTCTACAGCTGTGCTACAAATCACACCACTGTGTTCTGGTTTTTATGTATTACCATTAAGTATTGTTTTGTGGTGTGTGTGCCATTTGTTTAGGTAAGGTTTCTTCAGAATGATAAAAACTACTGTTCAGTATACAGTATATCAACTTGCATATATATGTATATATATAACTTCCATGTAAATTAAGGGTATGTACTCTGTTTCATGAAGCTGAAAAACAGCTGAAGAACTTTGCCTTGGCTTGGCTATGTTAGTTTATAATTAAAAAAAGGTGACTGTGATGGTTTCACAACAGCCAGCAACCAAGCCTTGCACAACCACTCACTCACCCCTGTGCTGCGGGGATGGGGAGAGGATTGGAAGGGTGAAAGTGAAAAGACTCATGAGTGGGATGAAGACAGTTCATTAGGCAAAGCAAAAGTACACAAACAAGCAAAGCAAAACAAGGAATTAATTCGCTGTTTTCCATGGGCAGTCAGGTGTTCAGCCATCTACAGGAAAGGAAGGCCCCATCACACATAGTATGGAAAAAGAGAATCACAATCCTGCTAAGGCTCAAACTTGAGCATAATAATAAATGATGTGAAAATTAATCTTAAAAGTACAATTGACACAGGAGATTTCAAAGCAGCTATCATAAGTTAAAAAATAATCATTTTACAAATGGTSCTCAGAATTAGATTCCCTGCAAACTGAGAAAGGTTATCATAAGTTTTAGATGTCATGATCATTATTTTTTAATCAAACTTTTGGCACCATAAGAACTAATTTTATCCACAAATTGTGTGATACTTTTAAATTCTTCAGCAAACACATGAAAGGTGATGAGTCCCTGTGAGCTACATCAATCAGACTGTATTTCTCCACATGGCATGATATGACTGATGAAACCTAGCAGGAAATCATAATGTCAAACATCAACCAGAATCTTTTTCTTTAGTTTATTTTTCTCAAGCTTGTGTTTTTATTATCATGGTGCCTTGGGGTGAATATAGGAAAGGAATTATGGGAGAAGAGAGACAACAAATGTTGAATATAAAAAAGGAAAAATAAGATGTGYTTATTTGGGGATTAAACTCTCAGATGTATTTTTTTAAGTGTGGTACTACAATAAAATTATTTTATTTTCTTTTGTAGCTATCAATAGTTTCTCTTTAAAACACTTCACTCTGATTGGGTCCAATAACTGACTTACTTTAGGAGTTAATTTTCAAAGTATGCCTGTGAGCATTTATAAACTACCATGGCAATGTGTGGGTTTTTCTTGTATATGATTTTTTCTCTAATCAGTGGAATATTTTTTAATGTTCAGCTTTTAAAAGCAATCTATCATAAGGCAATCTATGAAATTCTTGATTAATAAAAACTTGAAAGATTGACAACTTCTCACTGATTTTTTTTTGTAACATTTTTTATTTGAAAATTTTTATATAGGCAGCCTATTCCAAAGAGAAAGGTTTAGCCAAAACAGGGTAGTAATCCAGATATCAATTTATTTCCAAGATAAGAAAAACATTAAATCAGAAGTAGTACTTTTTGGTTTAGAGATATTGCAGTTATATATTTCTATATTTAAAAAGTCTCTCACTTTAAATTAGGCAATTGGCTGGTTTAGTTTAAACTTCTTATTCTACCTTCCATTKCTAGTTTTGCTTTTTCTTTTACCTCTATTAGCTCTTTTCTACTTTGTTACTCAAGGAAAGTAGAAAAAGGATTCATCTTTTTGCTTTGTTAGAGAGTTGTTAGAACTGCAGCTGTCTGTTGTCCCTTCACACAGAGATGTCTCCTGCCACCAAGTTTAACAGGTGTCATAGAGCTTTGGAGGGAGGAAATARAAAGGCTTGATGAAGTGAACATATTTTTGAAGAACTGGGGAAGCAAGTAGTAGCAAGAAGCTCACTTTCTGGTGAACTCACTGACTCTTTTCTGCACATGGTTAAACCTTTCTCCATCTCTTATATTCACCCTGTTCCAGTGGACATCTACAGCATCACGGAATCTTCTCTCTCTTTGCAGCTACAGAGCAAGAGTATCTGTTTGATTTTTACTTCTCTTATTTAAATCTTAATTCAAAGTTTTTTACTTTTGCTTTCATTTAATTTTTCTTCTAATTGGAGTATGATCCCTGTAAATATCCTTGTAGCAGAGATTTACTGCTACAAGGTAAGGTCAACCTTGCTCATACAAGTACAAACACATATCATGAGGCAGCTTTATCATGACCCCAAATTTTGAGAAAGATTAAGAATCAGTGTACATTTATCTGAGTGTACAGGTCAGTGTACATTTATCTGAGACAATGCCACAAAAGAAAGTTGTATAAAAACCTTCACTGGATGGCTCTGCTAGCATAGTTTGTCTTTCCTTACACCAAACTCGTAGTTTGGACGATGGAGCTGTGTAACAAGTAGGAAGGAACATGGCAGTTGCCTACTTTTATTCTAATTACACCTAATTTTTGACACTGTAACTGGAATATTTCCTCCTTTGACTTCTGAGGTGATTTTCTTAGTTAAGGCTAAATGCGCATTACCAGAATCTCTTTTTCCACATTTAACTTATAATGTTCTATCCAAATTACACAAACATTTTGCATTTTGAAAAGAGTATTTTTCACTATCATTTTGAAGAAGAGACAAAAAATTAACTTTCATATTGKGTCCTACATTTCCTTTTAATCTATATAATTCCTTCACTTTTCTATAATGTTATTTCTTTAAACATCATGTTATCTCTGATCCTTCTTCCAAGACCCATAAAAACTATTAATTTGTTTTGTTCCAGATTTACATAGGTTCTAAATCAGTTATACTTGTACATGTGGCTTTTTACATTTATTAATCATGTTTTTAAAAAAGGCAAAGCAAAAATAGATTTGCAAATTAAAAAAAAAATCTTCCATAAGGAGCCATTGATATTGTGCAGTCAAATTGAATTATGTTTTCTAGATGTAGCAAATCAGCYGTACCATTATCCCTAAATAACCCAATCTAAATTGTTTGGAAGATATTACTTACCTTTAAGGAAATCGAATTTATTTTGTTTCTTGCTACTTTCTTAATTGCTGGATTATTTTYTTTCATCTCTTATAGCAATGTCTAGGTCATACAGTTAATTTTAGCATAGGATAGAACCTTTGTGGATAGAAATGAACATATCTTCCTCTTTAAAAAAAAAATACGAACCTACTTAGAGACTTGTCAGTTATTGTTTTACYAAGGTTTTAGTTTTGTAGATCTCAAGTGCTTCATAATTTTTGGAAACACAAATTTTTCATATATATGAAGTTCCATGTCCGTATTGTATGACCTGATATAATTACTTGAGGATCACTTTTTTTCCCTATATTTCAAACATAAAAATATTTCTCACTGGGGGAATTGCAGTTGTACAAAGGTTTCCACATTGTTGCTAGCAATACTAGGAGAAACAAAAGTAAGAGGCATAAAAAATTTTCAGGTCATTATGACTTCCTAAGAGCCTTCTTCCTTGTCACATAGCATAATTATTAGAAAAACAGAAGTCAGGAAAGGACAGTAGATTACATACTTTGGTAACWTTTTCAGATTAATAGCAGGACATGGATAGGTCAAATCTGCTTTGCCACCAAAGCAGTGTCAGGAAAAAAATATGTGAAGGGCTACAAGCATCTTTTCCATTACACTGAAGGAAATGCTAACAGTGCATTCAGTATGGCTTTTTATCAGTCATTGAYTTCTCTAGATGAAAGATGAGAGCCTTGATGTGTCAGGGAAGCTTCAGAAGGTTCCAACATTCTTATATTCTGATAATATTCTAATAATAATCAGAATTAATATGCAGAGGAATGAATCAATACTCCAATTTTGATTTTAATATTATGCTGCAGGACTGGGATTCTGCAGGTAATTGAAATATGGAAAGGTCTTCCAGAGTAGTTAAAAGGAAATGATAAAATAGAAATATGGCTTATGGCTATAAAAAGGAAATATGACAGAATTATGAGGAAATGTATGTGAATTGCAAATTAGGTTGGAGAAGTAGAAATAAAATATTTATAACAAGTGCTGAAATGTAGAAAAATAAATTATTATTTGATTTATGTGGTTATTACAGTAGGCTTATATCCAGTGCCTTCAGAGACTGAATAGGAATTTCAGTATGAATGGGAAAGAAGATCTTGGATTTGCCACGTTCAGTTGGTGGATTGTCATTCAGGACAGATGGAATTTGRAGAGTGAAGTGGCATAAGATGAAGGGAAACACTTAATCACTTTAAGGTGGCTTATGGAGCCAAATTATCTGACCACAGTAAAACTACTGTATTTGATGTTGTACTAAAATTTAATCCGTTAAGCAGATATGCCAAATTCTTGGTATCCTGAGCACTGAATGAACCAGACTTCTTTTATCATCATCTGTCAATAGCAAAAATCCATCACATAAATAGAATTTCTGTGTTTCCTGAGTGATGAGTGCATTAATATGTACTCTAGTGATAAATAAGGTTTCTGATAAGCTTATTTAGATCTTAGGAAAGCACTTCAAGTCCAGGCTTGTCTTTATAGGAACTCTGACTGAAAGATAATATTATTGTGGTTGTCTAACCACTTGGCAACAGAACAACCTGCCAGGGCATTACTCTGGAAGTACAACTAGAGAGCTGATGACWGTCACATATATGCAGCTGATTCCAAGCTGTCTTTGAACTCAAAGCTTTATAGGCAGGCTACAAATTGTGAGAAAAAAAAAAAAAGAAAAAAATCTTATCTAGGATATTGCATARATATATTTATATCTTCTAATTAAGGGTAGAATG